AATAACAAGGACATCTCACACCGGATGGTGTCAGCCATGAGAATGTACAGATTTCAGCTAAATGTGCCCACGATGGTGGAGATCATTGAGGGGTCGCCAACCACCAGTGTATGGCAAAGGAGGTAGAAAGAGCAGAAACTGAGGCCCAGAAGGCGACCTCTCAGCCCAGCCACTGTGTCCCCCTGATGTCCCCTACCTCTAGCTCTGGAATCCCCATCTTTACTGAAGCACCTCTGATCCTGCCCTGGGCCAATCCAGAGCTGGATGGCAGGATAGCTGGTGCCCCTTTCCCTGCCTCTAGGCTTCAGGGCTGTGAGCCCAGCTGCCGAGGGGCGTGGAGGCCCTGGGCCCCGGTGCAGGCTGGTGAGGGCGTGTGGTGTGTGTGCCTCAAGCCGCAGCAGAGCCGTCTGCACCAGCCTCAGAGGCACTGCATTGCAGTGGTAGGATTTTTTTGTCATTAGTTTTTTCCCTAAAAGTCCTCATTCCCAGAGAAATGCACAGCCAATGCCTCCAGAATAGGGTGGACAGTTTACCTGGGGATGTCTCAGCTGCTTCTGACCCAGGATGCTGCGGCCACCTCCAGCCCCTCCGGGCGCAGCCCCCTACCCTCTGCTCCTGATGTAAATGGGAGGTCTGGGTGGAAGGAGCACAGACTGGCTGATCCTCCCTTCGCAGGGCCGGGGACACAGATTGATTGAACTTAAATGTCTGTTGCACTGGAGCACTTCTCAGCTCCAATCAGGGGCTCTGGCTTGAGGCTCCTTCACAGCAGAGAAGGCTTTACATTCCAGAATCAATCAATCTCTCTCTCGCTCAGCTTTACTGGGGTAGGGGTGGGTGTTGAGAGGTATCAGTGTCCCCTTTGGAGCAGCCAATACCAAATCTGCTACAGGGTTCTCAGAAAAGCCTGAACTTGAACCCCTGCCTCATTCCCTGGCAGGCGGGAGCCACGTCTTTCCCCACTGCACAGCTCACCAGTTTCGCTCACACCCTACCTCTGTGTTCTGTTCCTGGGTTTCATTTTAAGGAAAGTTTTCAGTCCAGTTCTGCTTTCCTAATTTAAAAAGCAAAGAAAATACATTCAGTGGATGCCTAGCGGAATGGGGGCAGCCAGCCCCACCCCAGCCAGCGCCCCTCCCTGCTCGCCCCACTCTGGAGGGTTTCCCTGGGATTCCGACTGCCGCAGAGGCTCCGGGGACGCTGACAGAGGGCAGCAGAGTGAAAAGACTTGGATGAGGCATTGTGATCGCCTCTGCGTCTGGCGGGGGGAGGGCATTTCAGCCACGGGAAAAGGCTTTGAAAGCTCCCTCTCTGCAGAGGCAGGGAAAGGTGGGGCACCACAGGGAGCTCCCCACCACACGGAGGGGTTGTATGGGCCCCATCTGCCCGCCTCTGATGTTGGGGCTCTCTCGAGCACAGATGGCTCTGGCTCACGGGCCGCCAGGACACAGCTGAGCCAAGCTGGGTACAGCCCAAGGAGAGGTGCGGACAGTGTCCCATCTGCTGAGCAGGTGACAGGCACTAGCACAGAAGGGGGGCAGGATCCCAAGGCTGGGAGGGTCAGAGCCGCTGCTGCAGGGCCTCCCCCTTCTGTCCTAGTCTCCCCGGGGCCCCAGGCAGAGGGCGCCACCAGGACCCATATGTCTTTAAATAAGAACAAAGTGATCTTCTGCCTAAGAGCTGTTGCCCACGCAGCACCCGTGGATGGTGAGGGAAGTGACAGCTCTCTTCTCTCTGAGGCCAGGACAGTAGGACTGGGACTAACCGCCTGGGGAACGGCCTGCCTGGAAAGCAAAGGGAACCCATGAAGCAGTGTCATGTCTGGTCCCAACTCAGTTACCTCAGCCGTCTGACCCAGGGTAAGTTCACGAAGCTCTCAGAGCCTCCTCATCAGTACCTTGGGTTGCAGTAGCCACAGCTCACAGGGCTGCCAGAGGGGCTCATGACATACTGCATATGGCCTCAGCAGTGGAGGCTACTATTCGTCTCACTACTCCTGTCCCAGAACATGCGAGAAGGGCAGGGATCTCCTCTCCTCCAGATCTAACTAAATGGCTCCCAGATTTTAATATACATTAAAATCACCTGGAAGCTTCCTTAAGGTGCAGATTTCTCAGCCCCAACCCCATAGATTCTGACTCAGTGGGTTCGGTTCAGGGCCCCAGGGTGATGATAACATAGAACACATCTTGAGAAGCACCAGCACCGAGGATGGGAGATGGTCCCATCCAAGGCTTGAGGAAGGTGTGGATGGGGTCAGCGTGCTAACAAATTGACCCCGTGCCCTACACCCTGCGCAGACTCCCTTTCTCAGGCGACAAGCACTCTCTGGCGTTTTGTTTTTTCTGCCACCCTCTTGTAGTTTGTGTCCATATTCCTGAAGTCAGTTATCATTCAGCAAATACACATGAAGCACCTGCTGGAGTCCCAACACTGCTCCAGGTGGCGGGAGAGAGCAATGAGCTGAGCAAGAATCCCTCCCCTCACAGACAATATAACGTGGGACCCACTGTTTCATTCTCTCATTCATTCAATACCTGATACTCAGTACCTGCTCTCTGCCAGGTGCTGGGCTGGGGGCTAAGCGCTCCTCATCAGGAAAAGGTGGCCCTGAGAAGCCACCTGCCTTGGGGGACCCTCAGCTCTAAAATCCCGTGGCTGCTGCCTCCCCCACCCCTACTCACAGAGGCAGCCACAGGGGACTGCGGCGGCTCCAGAGGAGACGGATGGCTTGGCCTTGCTCCCCAGCTCACTCATCGCCACCGCCGGGGGCAATGTATTCTGTTTCCTCTGATCTAGGCCTGTCCCTTTACATAATCCTATGCCTCATAATTGCATGTGAGGACGGGCTAATTCCCCCAAACACCGTGTCAGGCCATCGATAACATTCCCGTGCGGTTGTGCTGGGCCACTTGGCGGCCCTCGAGCCAACTGGCAGGGGGAGCTCAACCGTGGCCTCAATTTTTCATGCCAGTCCCGCATCCATCACCAGCCTGCCACCTCCGGTCTCTGCTCCAAGGGGGCAGGTGTTGAGAGAGAACACTCGGCAGGCGCTGGCCCGTCCCCACCACCCCACTGCTGAGCTTCGGAAGTACTAAAGGCCTTCAGAATCCTCCAAAAGGAACCCCTATTTTGCAGATGGGGAAACCATCTTATCTGTTCAGAGTCAGTCACAATGCTACATCTACTTCATTCATTCATTCACCCACTCATTAATTCATTTATCAGACTCCATGAGAGTCCATTCAGGACCGAGGTCGTGCTTGTCACCGGACATACAAAGGTGACCAAGATGTGGGTCCCGAGTTCAAGGGGCTCACACGCCCTGAGGAGATACCGTGACCACAATATAATGTCATCTGTATAGCGGGAACAGAAGGGCGGGGGGCTGCTGTGCAAGTCCCAGAGGAGGATCGGGAACCCCCAGTGCCAGCCCAGGTAGACAGCATATCATGGGCAAAGGCCAGGATGTGGCAAGAGGCTGGATGCCTGCAGAGCTGCTGGCAGAACTGGGCCCAGGCCCGCATTTCCAGATGGTAGCGTTCCCCCGCCTCTGCAGCTTCACTCCCTGCTAGGGATGTAGGAATTACACTTTGGGGTCTTCCCTGTAGAACTGGGCCTGCCCGGGGGAATGCTGTGTACACTGCAGCCAGAAAGTGAACCCTCTAATTTGCAGTGATCTTCCCTCTAGGAGGGAGTATGGCAATTGTTAACATTCCCTGGAGCCAAGGGCTCTCGCACAGGTAGAGCAGCACAGCTCCTGGCAAGGCCAAGGGTGACCCTTTCACCTGCTCAGATACTGCACAGCTGGGCTGTCCCGACAGGGGGTGGGAGGGGGGTGGAGCTGGGTACTCCACCCTCTCTGAGCTGAGGGCCTATGCCCCCAACTTCTCAGGGCATATGCCAGGTCACAGGGAGACGCTGTATAATGGTTACAAATACAGGCTTTGGTGTCTATATAGAAAGTAGTTGGGTTCAGCCATTTCTGTCTGATCAGCCTTGGGCAAGTCAGGGAACCCCTCTCGGCCTGGGGATCATCATCTGTACGCAAGGACTGTAACATCCGTCTCGTGTGCCGAGCACTAAACAAAGCGTATGAAGAAGGCGAGCGCGCGTGCCTGGCCCGCCGTCAGCGGCTGGACGGAGAAATGAAAGCGCTTGTTCCCGGAGGGAGAAGCAGTGGCAGGAGGGCCTGAGTCCTGGGGTCACTCCTACTGCCCGGCGCTAACTGCGGGAGCTACTGACTAACTCTCCGCCTCACTGGTGACAGGTTTCTCCTGTCATGGAAACAGTCACTTCACAGGGTTGTTGTGAACAGGAAACCACCTGGGCCGGAAGGGGCCTGTGTGGGGTCAGGGCTCAGCGAACATATTTTTCTCCCTTCTCTAGAACTCAGCTCTGCTCCACTCCTCTGGGCATCACGCGGGTCCCTCCCTAGAAGTTCCCCCTATTAGCCTAAGATTATGGGTGTGCAGGGCAAGGGTCAGGGTCAAGGTGCCAGCCCAGTGCTGGGGAGGACCCATCCATGGACACCAAGAAACTGAGTTTGTCAAGCCCCCCCAGCTCCACAGGCAGCAAGTGGTGTCCTCTTCCCTAAGGGAGAGCAAGGGACGCAGGCCCCTGCATAGAGCCCCATGGGCTAACACCTGGCAGTCGTTTTGCAGGGGTTCAGTCCCCCACTTCAGCCTTGGCCTGGCCTTCCCACTGCTCTCCAGCCTACACCTCCTGCCCCCATGCACAAAGCACTCCCGGCTAAGCCCTCACCTTCACCTCCAAATAGGCTCCTCCTCCTGAACCCCATCTAGTGGGGCACTACTGTATGTCAAATTTTTGGGGAATCTTTTTTTTTTTGGATGGAAAATAACTTGTTTGTTTGAGCCAATGAGTGGGTGTCATCTCAGAACTTCTCGAAGTGTTTCTTGGTGCCAGCAGCCTTGAGCACACTGAGGCCGCCTCTCACTCAGGAGCCAGCTCTCCCCTGCAGTGACAATGTCCTCGATCTAGACGTCCATGGGGCAGGGTGACGAGAGCACAGACATGCCCTCATGGCGCTTCCCCATGAGCTTGCACCCTGGACGCAGGAGAGGCGGTCTCAGCGGGTGACCAGGGTCCTCTGCATCTTCATCTTCCACACCAGACAGGGCCTGCCCTTGGATGGAGACGCTATGGGCATCTGTCAGCACAGGTGCCTCAGTGGCCTCCTTTTTGAAGCCCAGGCCAATGTTCTTGTAGCATCTCAGGAGCTTCTTCTCACCAGTTTCCCTGAGCAGGAAGCTGTTCTTATTTTGAAAGACAGTCTGCTCCTTCCAGTAGGCATGCTCAATCTGAATGTCCACATCTCTTCAGCCGCCCGAGAAAAAGAAGCTGAAGCATCTTTAAAGACTTTTTATTATGGACATTTTCAAACTTATACAGAAGTACAAGAGTACAAAATCCCTTATGTGCTTGTTACCAACTTCAACATTTACCAATATTTGCAAACTCAGTTTACCTAGTATGTGTACCATGATCTATTTTTTTTTCTGGAGAATTTATTTTTTTAAGACTTATTTATGTATACAAGAGCTGGGGTGTAGGCCAGAGGTGCAGGGAGGGTGAGAGAATTCACCAGAGACAGAGTGGGGAGCAGAACAGGCAGATCTACTGAATACACTGCTGAGGGGAGCAGTGGGCGAGACAGGAGAGGTCTGCTGTGCCATGTGGGTCAGCTCCCTGGCCAGGGATCAAACTCATGCTGCAGTGGCTGCGGATAGCTTCATAGTGCTGATGCTTAACCCCTTGCACCATCAGGGAGGCCCTTTTTCCTGGAGAATTTAAAAACAAATCCAGACATGATGCTATTTTTTCCACAAATACTTCAAGATTGTTCTCTAACTAAAATATCTTCTGGATAGATAGATAATCTTTATACAGATATCTTTAACCACTGTGCCATTCTCACACTTAGCACAGTAAGATTCTTCAATAGGATATAGCACACAATCCATATTCAAATTTCTCAGTCTCACGATGCCTTTTTAAAGTTGCTGTTTGAATGCACACATTGCATTAGGTTGTTAAAGCCACTAAGTGTCTATTACTCTGCAATATTACTTCTTCATTTTTCATGTCATAGATTTGTGGGACAAACACTCACCCCATATAGTACCCTGACTTCTGGCCTGTCTCACTTCTTCCTCCTGGAGTCATTTACTTCTGTGTGCATATTTCTTGTAAATCGATCGTGGGACCTAGAGGCTTAGCTAGAGCAGGTTTGTTTTTCACCTACATCTACTAGTCTCCACTTCACTCTATCTCACACTCAGCACCACCAGCTCAAACACATGTGTGTACATCCCACACTTCACGCTTACTCAGGTACCTGTGGCTCTTCCAACAAATTGTTTTCTCTCACCTCTGGGCCTTTGCACCAGCTGTTGGTACCAACTGTTGCACCAGCCTTTGCACCAGCCTTTGCACCAGCTGTTTGCACCAGCTCTGGGCCTTCCGCTTCACTCAGAAGGATTTAGACAAGTTGGGCTTAACATTTGGCATCCAGGGCAGGCCCTATCTCTCCAGATGGCCTCCCTTCTGGGCACCCACAGCTCTGTGCCACCCACACCCTACCCACAGGGCATGCCTCTGAGTTCCATTTATCCATGAACTTGCACCTCTCCCCCGATCCGGCTCACTGACCTCCTGTTTGGGCTTCCCAGTGCATACCACAGCCACAAGGCCCCCGATTTCCTCTGTTACCCTGTGGTTATGTTTCCAATCAATTTTACTGGTCTATAATTACATACATACAATAAAATGTGCTAATTTTAAGGGCACAATTTCATGAACTTTACTAAGTACATATCCATTTTACCACCATCCCCATGAAGATGCAAAACAGTCTCATTACCCTCCAAAAGTTCCCTTGTGCCTCCTGCTTCTTTGCACTCAAGTTCTCACCCAGCCCCAGGCAACCACTGATCTGATCTGTCCTCTCTCCTGGATTAGCTTTTCCTGTTTGAAAAGTTCATATGACGAAATCACACAGTGTACACTCTTCTAGTTGGCTTCTTTTGTTCAGAGTAATTATTCTGAGAGTCACCCATGTTATCGCAGATAACAGCAGCTTATTCTTTTTTGTTACTGAACATTGTATGCCATTGTATGGAGTGCCTATCTAAGTTAAATTTTTTACTTCAATTTAAAATAATGTAAAGGTTATGTATGTGTTCTCTGTTCTTATCTTTCACTGCCTCCTGTTCTAAGAAACTTGGCTTTCTTCTAATAGGAAAATGAGTTTCCCTGGGCTGAAAGTGGGAAATGGTGGAATTGCAACAACTACCAAAAACAGCACCTCTTGCAAGGAGTAAGTATGGAGTACTTACTTACTAGGTTATTAGTTACTAAGTAACTAGTTTGCATCTTGTTGAAAGGGAGGTTGAACCAAACAACTTCTTACACTGTTTTTCAGTTTTCTGATTCCCTTTCTGTGACAGTCATCAAAAAACACCTACTGTCTCCTAAACCCTGGACTGCAGACACATGACAAGGTTCCTACCTCCAGCATTGATTAGGAAGACAGCAGAGAAGTACGTGATGATTTGTGTTTTTAACAGGACTAAGACAACCCAGTGGCAAGTCTGGGAATCCGCATCATGACCTTCAGATGGAGTCAATGCCTGGGGCTAGAGACAAGCCACTTTGAGCCTCACCACAGCAGAGGGGGCACCACTTCATGAATTACACATCTTCCCTACATTTCTCTTCTGTGCGTGAGGACCTCGAACACAACTTTCTCCACCATTTACACTTGTCTCCTTCTTCCCATCTGTCTCACATTCCCATCACTCAGTTCCTTTTTTTTTTCATAGAAAGGAAAAAATATTATACTCACTATTCAAATGAATATGAGATGGAAAAGATCAAGACTTGTTCAAATTATTTTTTAATTTTTTTTAATTGAAGCAACACTGGTTTAAAACATTAAGTAGGGTTTCATGTACTGCATTATAATTCCACATCTGTCTACACTGCATTATGCTGACCACCAAAAGTCTTGTTTCTACGACCCACCACATAAGTGACCCCTTCTACCCCCACTCACCCACCCTTCCCCTATCTGCAGCCACTGTAGCATGAGTTCGATCCCCGGCCAGGGAGGTGACCCACATGGCGCAGCAGACCTCTCCTGTCTTGCCCACTGCTCCCCTCAGCAGTGTATTTCAGTCAGTCTGACTGGTCTACTCCCCACTCTGTCTCTGGTGAATCCTCTCACCCCCCATACCTCTGGCCTGTACCCCAGTTCTTGTATGCATAAATAAATAAAGCTTTAAAAAATTATTCCTTTAAAGAGCTAACTAAAATAAGTTGGTTGTTAGAGACACTCAGTAGGAAAAAAGATTACCTGGCACTCGTGATGCCAAACAACTAATTTAGCTTAGATATCCCCAGTGATCTGACAGCTTGACTGGCTCTCGCAGCAGAAGCTGGATCCAATCTGCTTGTTGAAATGGTAAAATTCACTTCACCCAGAGAAATTTCCCATCCAGGAAATTAGGACAGACTGGCACCCCACAGCTCAATCCTACAGGGCTGGGGACCCTCCAGATTCTGCGTCTTTTTTATGTGTTACCCATGATAGGAAGGGAGAGCTTTGAAGGGCAGAAGCTGGGAATGGCCAGGTAGGGCAGGAAGAGAGAATGCTCACTCCATATAGAGGCCTACAATTTCAGAGATATGTCACAGATACTGTCAAAAGCCAATGACTTACTGGTCTGTTGAGACTCTGGAAACAATGCTGCCCAGGTGCCGAATTTCTTGCTTTCCATGCAGCTGCTCCGACTGCTGCACAACTGAGCCTGATAGCACTGGAGTCTCAGCCCAAATGTTTACCCGACAAGTGAGTGTGTGTGTGTGTGTGTGTGTGTGTGTGAGTGCATTTCACACACACACACACACACACACACACACGTTAGCCAGCACCTCCTTGAAAAACAAAATACACTCCAGCTTTTTCAGATGTGGAGAATTTAATTGGGGATTGATGTACAAGAGGTGGAAGAACTAAGAAACCAAATGGGGGAAGAATCAACCCAAAGAAAAGTTGGTAGTAGGAAACCACTACCCCCTCTTGGAGCTGGTGAGAAGGCGGCATGATCAGGACCTGAGCCCTCCATTAGGAGGGAGAGCCGCAGAGAGCCCTCCAGTCTTGAACCCTGCCCACCTTTGGCTGAAACTACCAAAGGAGCTTGGGAAATGTAGTTCCCTGTAGTCAGAGCCAGAGGAATGGTGAGGAGTAGGCTGGGAGCCGGCAGCAGCGAGCAGTGTTTGTGTGTGTATGCACACCCCAGGGAGCTACTGGCTGGAAACTGGGGTGAGACCCCTGAACCTCTGAGCAGCTGAAGAACTGCAGAACCCCTTGTCCCCAGCCGGCTATCACCAGGAAAGGACATTCTTCGTGAGTCATTTAATGTGTAGAGAAATGAAGGGCAAGGGGAAGGGGGCGCAGCTACACTGGGCACTAAATCAAGATTAATGAAGTTCCTGCCAGGATTAATTGCTGCTTTCCCTGGAAGCTGGGGGCACAGCATGGGCAGGGCTGTTTGTAACGGCCAAGTCTGGTTTTGAACAGCCTGGGTGGGACGTGATAGATGACTTAACCCCCTCGCACCTAGTGTTTGAAGGCAGAGGCAAAGGAGACTGAGTGACAGGCAGGCACCCCTGCCAGCCCGGGGCGCTGCTCCGTGTTGCCCCAGTTGCCCCAATTCTTCCATCTGTTTTGATCAATACAGGCTCTGAAAAAGTCGCACCATCTTAGGTGTCATTGAGGGAAAAAGAGAGAATTTATTTCAAGGCCTGTGGAGGGAGGCTGCGTTGAAGCACAGGGCCTCCTTTCAGAGTCTCTCTGCCCTTGGGGAGTCCTGGACATGCACCCCACTGAGGCCTCCCACACTTTGGGGACACTGCCTGCGTCTGCTCACGTGCTGAGTGTTGCTGTAGACGAATCCGGTCACAGAAAGGCTGGGCTATGCTATGGCCCATCGCGTCCACGGCACACCACTGCTCTAATGAGGCAGCCACCAGCAAGAGCTAGGACACCCTTCCCCATGGCCACGCAGCCCCCAACCATGTGAGGAGCCCCCCTCGCAGAAACACAGCTGTGGCCATCCTCTCGACCCCAGAAAAAATAACAAGCAATCTTGGGGAGGAGTGAGGACCAGAACGGGGAGCTACTGGCTGGACCTGTGGGCTCAAGGGGAGCTGGGCACGAGCTCCCAGTTCCAGACCGTTAGTGGCGTCAGGGTTGTAGGGGCTGAGTGTGCACAGGCCAAAACACACAGATGTACTTTTAATTTAGGGAAATCAGCTCTCCCACTGAAGACACCTAAGAAGAGCTTGATGGAAGACAAAAGTCATCTTGAGGGCCTCACCTGGTGGCGCAGCGGTTGAGCGCTGGGCTGCGAAGCTGCCCGCAGCCTCTGCAGAGCTGGTTCGATCCCCGGCCGCCAGTGAGGGTCCCACATGGCGCGACAGACCTCTCCTGCCATGCCCACTGCTCCCCTCAGCAGTGTACTTCTTCATCAGTCTGCCTGTTCTGTTCCCCACTCTGGCTCTGGTGAATTCTCTCACTCTCCCACGCTTCTGACTGTACCCCGTGCTTGTACAAATAAATAAATCTTAAAAAAAAAAAAAGATTTATTTATTTTTTTTTAAAAGAGGCATGTATTATTTATTTATTATTTATTTGTTTGTTTGTTTGTTTATACAAGCACTGGGTACAGTCAGAAGCGCGGGAGGGTGAGAGAATTCACCAGAGCCAGAGCGGGGAGCAGAGCAGGCAGAAGGACCGAAGTACACCACTGAGGGGAGCAGTGGGCGGCAGGAGAGGTCTGTGCGCCATGTGGGACCCTCCTCCGGTGGCCGGGGAGCAGCCGGGGATCGAACCGGCATTATAGAGGCTGCGGGCAGCTTTGCAACCCAGCGCGAAACCGCTGCACCACCAGGGAGGCCCAGATTTATTTATTTATACAAGCACAGGGTACAGTCAGAAGTGTGGGAGGGTGAGCGAATTCACCAGAGCCAGAGCGGGGAACAGAACAGGCAGACTGATGAAACACACTGCTAAGGGGAGCAGCCAGTGCAGCAGGAGAGGTCTGCATGCAGCT